GAGGTTCTGTTGTAATGTTTTCATTTTCATTGAATTGTAAGAACTTTCTGATTTCTTCCTTAATTTCTCTATGACCCAGGTGTTATACAGTAGTGTGTTATTCAGCCTCATCCTACTTTCTACAGAATGTTTTGTGTTGAGAACTAGTTTGATTCCACTGTGATTGGATAGGATACAAGGAATTATGCCAATCTTCTCGTATTTGCTTAGGTTCTTTGTGTGTCCTATGATATGGTCAGTTTTGGAGAATGTTCCATGGGCTGCTGAGAAGAATGTGGATTGGGTCATTGTTGGGTGGAATACTTTGTAGATTCTGTTAAGTTCATTTGGGTTATGGTGTAATTTGATTCAGAGGGTTCTTTGCTTGTCTTTTGTGTGAATGACCTGTCCTTTGGTGAGAGCAGAGTATTAAGACCCTTCACTAGGGCTGGGAAGGTGGCTCAGTGGTAGAGCTCTTGCCTTGCATGCCTGAGGTCCTGGGTTAGATTCCTCAGCACCACATAAGCAAAATGAAAAAAGCTGGAAGTGGCACTGTGGCTCAAGTGGTAGAGCGCTAGCCTTGAGCTGAAAAGCCCAGGGTCAGCACTCAGGCCCAGAGTTCAAGCCCCACGACCGACCCCCCCTGCCCCGCCAACACACACACACACACACACACACACACACACACACACACTGGGGGGGGGGGGGAATGGTCTGTTGTGGGGCTTGAACTCAGGGCCTGGGTGCTGTTCCTGAACTTAATTGGAGATGAGTCTCATGGACTTTCCTGCCCGGGCTGGCTTTGAACCGCGATCCTCAGATCTCAGCCTCCTGAGTAGCTAGGATTACAGGTGTGAGCCACCAGCGCCCGGCCCTTGTACTATTATTGTGTTGGAGTCTATCTTGTTCTGTAAGTCCAAAAGTGTTTAACAGATGTAGGTGCTCCATTGTTCGGTGCATAAAAATTGACCACTGTGATTACCTCTTCATGGATCATTACCTTTATTAAAATGTAATGACCTGCCTTGTCTCTGGTTTTAATGAAAAGTCTACTTATCAGATATCAATATAGCTACCCTGCCTTCTTGCAGGGTGCATTTCCATGGAAGATCTTTTTCCATCCCTTTGAGTTTGTTTTTATCTTTGTGAGATGGGTCTCTTGGAGACAACATAGGATGGATCTTGTTTTTTGTTCCAATTGCTATTCTTTTCTTTTGATTGGGGAATTGAGTCCATTAATGTTTAGGGTTATTATTGAGAGATGAGTCATTTCTTGACCTTTTGTTGATTTCCTGTATTTTGCCTCTCTCCCTTTCCTGTGTTTACTAACATGGTTTTCTAGTGATTTTTGTCTGTTTCCTTGACTTTTTCTTCAGATTGTATTCCTCCCTTTAGTATTCTTTGTAATGCTGGTTTAGTGTTCATGAATTCCTTTAATTTTTGTTTGTCATGGAAGGTTTTAGTTTCACCATCTAATGTAAGTGATAGCTTCGCTTGGTACACTTATTTGGATTGGCAGTTGTTGATCCTCAGGGCTTAAATTATACCATTCCAGGCTCTCCTTGTGTTGATGGTTTGTATGGAGAGCTCTGCAGTGATTCTGATTTTCTTTCCATTGTCATACAGCTCCTTTGATTTTGCAATATTTAGAAGCAATTCCTTGCTATTCATGTCTAATGTTTTTATTATGATGTGTGTAGAAGTGTTTCTTCTTGGATCCTGTCTAGTAGGGGTTTGATATACTTCTGTTAGGTGGGTAAGATTTTCTTTCTTAAGATTGGGGGGGCTGGGAAGGTGGCTCATGGGCTGGGAAGGTGGCTCAGTGGTAGAGCACTTGCCTTGCATGCCTGAGGCCCTGGGTTCGATTCCTCAGCACCACATAAGCAAAAAGAAAAGAGCCAGAAGTGGCACTGTGGCTCAAGTGGTAGAGTGCTAGCTTTGAGTTGAAGAGCTGAGGGACAGTGCCTAGGCCCAGAGTTCAGGCCCCACGACTGGACTCCATCCCCCCCCCCAAAAAAAAAGATTGGGAAGTTCTCTTTTATTACTTTATTGAGTACATTTTCAGTGTCTTTAGTTTTGAATTCTTTCTCCTGATCAATCCTGACTATACATAAATTTGGTCTCTTAACTGAGTCTGCCAGTTCTTGGATTTACCTTTGGTAGGTTCTGAGTGTTTTTTCCATACCTTTGACTTTTTGTTCTAGCCCCTCTATTTTATCCTTGACTCCTACTATTCTATTTTCCAGGTCACTTACTCTGTTACCATGGATTCTACTATAGTTTGTCTTGTGAAATTTTAACCTTTTATGCCTCCAGTTCTTTGTTGAGATCAGTTTTCACAGTGTTAATTTCATCTTTTAATTTTCTATTTTTGTCTCCATATCTCTTTGGGAGTCCTGTATCTTCTTTATTATTTTGTCTTTGTAACCTTGAAATTGTTTTTGGATATCCCTTTTTTATTTCAACAGCCAGTTGTTTCACCATTTCTTTGATGATACTTTTGTCTTCCATCTTTTCTCCTTTATTCTCACTAGGGTCCTTCTCTGGATTGTTGTTGGCTTTTGTATTTGGTTTGTTGTCTTGATTGTTCATGAATCTTGTACTGTTCCATTGTCATTTATGCATTTGGGTTCAGAGATTGTCAGTGCCATGGACCAAGCTTAGCCTGTTTGTGCCCAACAGGTGGCTGGACTGCTTCACACTGGGTGGATTAGCCAATACTGGGTCCCTGGAACAGCAAGCGTCTGTGCATGTAGTTGGCCCTAGGCTAGCTTAAAGGAGCACCATCCAGTGGTCCATAGCAGTGGCTGGGAAGCTTATATTCCAGCCTCTGGGATGGATGGATGCACACCTCAGAAGGGATGGGTTCCCATGGCTACATGGTAGTTTGTGTTTTGGCCCCAAGTTGTCTCTCTTCCCTCAGGTGGCCAATGCTTGGCCTCTGGAGTGTGTGTATGCTTTGTGGCTCCCAACCAGGGAGTGGTTGGTCTCCCTGCAACTGGGAGCTTAGGCCTGTCTGCTGTGAAGGGTTGGGGAAATTAGATTCAGGGATGGGCATGAGGTTTTGGAAGAGGTGGGTTCCTGGCAAGTGCAGGATTTTGTCTATGTTGTTTTCAAATAGATGTGGTTTCCCTGCCAATAGCTGGGCTGTGGCAGCTGCAGTGTCCTAGTGTGCCTACGGCCTCCCCTCCTCCCCTCCCCTGTATGAGTCCTAGTGGCCTCTTACTGGAAGCCAACAGGTGGGGTGGGGGGATGAGGGCTCTGGCTCTTTGTCCTCTTCAAGTGTGGTGCCCCTTCTTGGATGGGAGGGAGGGGTCTGGGCCAATCTTTGTGGGTCACTATCATGGGGTGAGAGTGCCAGGCAGGGTATTTACTGATCCTGGAATTGGATGAGGGCTGACTGGTGGTATGGTGGCAAATCTCTGTCTGAATGCTGCCATTAGGGTCTGGTGTCCCTGGTGGCCGCTGACCATTCCCACCACCCAGCTGAGGAGTTGCTCTTGCCTCCCGGCCACCAAGCTGTGGAGCCTTCCTCAGAGCTCTGCTGCAGTTGTTTGTGGGCTGGCCTGTGGAGCCCTGGGAGCTCTTCTGATCTGGGTGTCCCAGTGGTGTGCTGCTGGTTTCTATCTCTTTCTGCACTGTTCTGCTCCAGCGCTGTGGGAGTTTTCTGCATCTGAATGTGGGTGCTGTAGTCTGCTCCTCGGTCCTGGAGTCCCAGGCAGTCACCCGGCCGCTTTTGTGGTTGCTAGTGTGAGATGAGGGAATGGGGGAGGGCTGTTGGCAATTTTCCATCCTTATGTGTCCAAGTTATTAGTTTTTTTTTTCAGTTCCTGTGATTTTCTGTTTGTTCATATATTTGTTGTTGTTATCTCTTAAGGAGAACTGAGTGTTAGGACCCCAAATCTCTGGTTAGAGAGTGCTAGGATGATTCTCTATTATAGTTTGGCAGCCATCTTCCTGTCTCCAACAAAGTTTTTTGATCATTGTGGAAAACTCAGTTTCATCTTGAACCTTTTTTTTTTTTTTTTTTTGGTCAGTCGTGGGGCCTGAACTCTGGGCCTGGGCGCTGTCCCTCAGCTCTTTAGTTCAAGGCTAGCGCTCTACCACTTGAGCCACAGCGCCAGTTCTGGCTTTTTCTGCCTATGTGGTGCAGAGCAATCAAAACCAGGGCCTCATGCATGCAAGGCAAGCACTCTACCACTGAGCCACCTTCCCAGCCCATCTTGCTTGTTCTTATGTGTGTTGGTTACTGTCCTAACTTGGCTGGCCCACTGGCTCTCACCTTTGTCATTGAACCTCTTTGACCTTCTATTCAAGGTAAAATTCTGACAAATAGAGGCTCAGTGGTAGAGTGCTTTCCTTGCATTCATGAGACTGTGGGTTTGATTCCTCAGCACCACATAAGCAGAAAAAGCCGGAAGTGGTGCCATGGCTCAAGTGGTAGAGTGCTAGCCTTGAGCTGAAGAGCTGAGGGACAGTGCCCAGACTCAGAGTTCAGGCCCCCACAACTGACAATAAAAAAAAGAAAAGGGGGCTGGGAAGGTGGCTCAGTGGTAGAGCGCTTGCATTGCATGCATGAGGTCCTGGGTTCGATTCCTTAGCACCACATAAGCAAAAAAGAAAAAAAAAGCCGGAAGTGGCCCTGTGGCTCAAGTGGTAGAGCGCTAGCCTTGAGCTGAAGAGCTGAGGGACAGCCCAGGCCCAGAGTTCAGGCCCCATGACTGGACCCCCCACCAAAAAAAAAAAAGAAAAGAAAAAAAGTAATTCTGACAAATAAGTAAAAGTGTGTATCTTCAAATGAAATATTCCTGTAGAAGGCATCACCCATTGAAGGCATCACCCACTAAGCACAGGAGCTATCCAGATAGAGCTATCAGATAATGTGTAGCAGATAAATATATTTGCTTTCTGACCTAATTACAACTTCAGAAAATGTGATCAAAACTTAAGTCTCCTTGTACTCTAGGGAAAGAGAGAAACCCTGATGAATTTTTTTTAAAGTACTTTTTGTTTCTTTGCAGGAACAAAACACTGAAACAACCAGCTGCCTCCTTCAAAACATTTCTCCTGGGGATTATATAATGGAGGTATGTACAAGTGCAGGAAGTCTTATTTGTTCTGTAGAATGACATTTGTGAACAATTACTATTCTTTTGGTGTCATACTGGGTTTTGAATTTGGCCTTGCACTTGCTGGCTAGTTATGCTACCACTCATATATACCACTTAAGCCATAAGCCATACACCCCTAGCCTTTCTGCCCTAGTTCTATCTATCCTATCTATCCTATCTATCTATCTATCTATCTATCTATCTATCTATCTATCTATCTATCTATCTATCTATCTATCTATCTATCTATCTTTTTAATTAGCCTAAAGTAGTTATATAGAGGGGAGATTTCATTGTTACATTCCCATACATTTTTACAAAATATTCCAGTCAGTCTCACCCTCTTTATCACACGCCCCTCCCTACTTCCTGAAACAATTTCAGCAGGTTTTCTCTGTTTTCATAGCTGCAAACAATCTATTTTGGCTATATTCATCCTATTTCAGTATTACTCTTTTTCTTTTTCCTTTCCCCATTCCTGTCTTTCTTAGTTATATTCAAAATTCTGTGTTTTTTTTTTTTTTCCGGTAGTGGGCCTGTACACTGGGCCTGGGCACTGTCCTTCAGCTCTTCAGTTCAAGGCTAGTGCTCTACCACCTGAGCCACAGCGCCACTTCCGGCTTTTTTCTTTTTGCTTATGTGGTACTGGGGAATCGAACCCAGGGCCTCAAGCTTGTAAGGCAAGTGCTCTACCACTGAGCCACCTTCCCAGCCCCTCTGTGTTTATTTGTATATAGAGTTAAAGGTATATATGTCCATGTCCATAAACATTTATGCCTTTTAGGTATAACTCCCACAAATATGAGAGAAAATATATGATGTTTTGTTCTTTGAGCTTATCTTGCCTCACTCAGTATGATGTCCTCCAAGTATATCTAGTTCTCGGCAAGTGATATGATTTCATTTTTCTTTATTTGCCTTTTATTTTCTTTATTGCAATGTAATATTCCTGTATATATATATGAGTTGTTTATTATTTATTTGTTTGTTTTCTGTTTGGATTGTCTTCTGAGGCTACGATTCCTTGAATATTTTTTGAAATGCTGCTTTAATATTATGAATTCTTTTAGGTTTTTTCAGGAAAGGTTTATTTTTTCTTTTGTGCTTATCCTGGGACTTGAATTCAGGGCCTGGACACTGTCTTTGAGCATTTTTGCTCAAACTAGAGCTCTACCAGTTGAGCCAAAGTTACACTTTGTCTTTTGTCTTTTTTTTAATACCTCACTTGTTGGGTCTTCGTCTGTCCCACAAAAGACAGACGGACGGGATCTGATGAAAGGTAAGTGCAGCGCTCACCTGTTCCCCAGCTTCCCTCAGCCCGGGAGACAATCAGATGCAGCAGGGAGTCAAGTCAAGTAGGAAGAAACTCATTTATTAACAGTGCAAGCTCTTTTTAAAGCAAAAAAGAGCCGGTGGCATGGCAGGGGAGGACTGTCAAGGTCACACCCTATCATGCACCTAAGCTTCCACAGGCTGGTTATGCACTGAACGTAAAGCAAATTGGGCTCTGTCCTCTCAATTCCCTCTCAGCGCCATCTTTGCTGCCCATGTGCTCTACAGTAAATTGGGCTCTGCCCACACAACTCCCTCTCAGCGCCATCTTTGCTGCCCATGTGTCCTACAGATTCCCCCCCCCCACTTTTTTTTTAATGGCAGACCCATCTCCCAGTTAGTTATCCTTTGTAAAGGTATTTTAACAGGATTACATTGGTAAGGATAGCATTGGCCACGCAGGGGGTTTGAGGCAAGTCTGGGGGGTGAGATTTGCCAGACAAGGATAGGGAAGGCCCTTGTGCATGATCTAAGAGCCCGTCCCAGTTACTTCACATCCCCACCTAGCACAGTAATAAGCATCACAGTTAGAAATGTCCGAAGCAGTTCAGTTAATTCCTGGGCATATATAAAAGTCAGTATCTCGTAAGGACATCCTCTTCAGAACATGGGAGCAGCCTGGATATTGGGAGTTCCACACATGCGACACAGTGCATCCTCGTGGGCCCCCACACTCAGGCCATTCTACTATAGTCCAGAAAAACAAGAAAAATTTAAAGCAAACTGCAGACATAGCAAAGCAATCCTGGGTACGTGGTGTCTTTTAAGTAAGCCAGTTCCTTGTATGTGCCTTTAAGCGAGCACAGGGGTCAAGATGACCTTTGAACTTTACTGTCAGCTCCCAAGGGCTTCCAATACTCACTCTTAATAAACAAAAATAAATCAACAAAGAAACCTCATAATTAATGACACCATATACCAAATTGACTCAACACACGTATGCAGAGTATTTCATCCAGTTGTGCCACAATACACAGTTCAGCCTTTCATGGAATGTTCTCCAAAAGAGATAGATCACATCCTAAGACAGCAAGTCAGAGCCAAAAAAATTCAGAAGTGGAGCTGTAGTTCAAGTGGTAGAGCTCTAGCTTTGAGCAAAAAAGCTCAGAGACAGAGCCCAGGCCCTGAGTTCAAGCCCCACCATTGATACCAAAATAATAAATAAATAATACAATGAAGAAAAGGCTTCAGACTGAGTATTTAGGAAATGGAACTATTCATTTTCAGGATTTTGGTTTGATTTTTTTCAAGGGTTCCATCTCTTTATAGAATTATTCTCTTATATGTATTGCCTTTTTTTGTTCATTCAGCTGTTTGTATTATCTTGTTCATTTGATGTCTCTTGTTTATTCATTTCTCCAGTTCAAATTCTTTTTTAATTTGCCCAGTTTTTTTTGAACATCTGTTTCTTTATTTTATTAACTATTCTTACTGTTGTTTTACATCCTTTGTTTTGTTGTTGTTGTTTGAGGGTTTCTTTTTGCTATTGTTTGTCTGTTTTTCTTCTCTCTTCTAGATCTTTGGAGTTGTTGGGGATTTATTTGTGTATATGTATATGCCTATTCAACTCTTCCTTTACTTCCTATACCCCCTAACCCAATACAACATCAACTAAATTCTTCTCTGTATATCTCACTCCTCCTTCTAATTAAACCCCACGAAGTTAGCTTGCATCTTTTTCTACCCTATATAACCAAATACCTTGCAGTAGTCCAATAAGACTATCCTTCCCATCTCTTCCTACTACCACCTTGATTAAGGAAGGCCTTCACAGAGCATGAAGATATATACCTTGGAACATATATCCATCCCGAAAACTCAGAGTAATAGCAGTAAGTTCACTAGAACTTACTATAAACATTAGGCCTTGGTTTCCTATCTGTAACAGCCTGTGAAACCCAGTTCCTCATCCCAAGTACAGAAGAGTCCCCCCCCCCCCACAGTAGTTCCAGCACTGAATTGACTGAAACTGACTTTGTCAACTGAAAACCACCTTGCTACTCCATTCACCACCACCTAGACACCACCCATCTTAAGAAAGCTGTGTATAGAAATTCTCTCTCTCTCTCTCTCTCTCTCTTTCTCTCTACACAGCTTACTGGACCACATGAGGTCTTGCTGACTTTTGCCTTGGCTGTCCTTAGCTTCTGTTCTCCCAGTTTCTACCTCCTGAGTGCTAGGATTGTAGGCAACACTAATATAAGCTCTGGAAGAGATATGCATTTGTATTTTTACATGGTTCTTTTAAAAAAATGTTTATACATGGGCCAGGCCTTGTGGTATATGCCTATAGTTACAACTACTTGGAAGATAGGGCTGCAGTTTGAGTCCAGACAGACAAAAACATTATTGAGACCCTATCTCAAAGAAGAAGCTGGGTGTATTGGCTTACTCCTGTACCCTCAGCTACATGGGTGGTATAGGTAGGAGGATCACAGTCTGATGCCAGCTTTGGCAAAAAGCAAGATTGTATCTGAAAAATGACTAAAGGAAAAAGGGCTGGAGGAATGGCTCAGGTGGTAGAGTACTTGAGTCCCTGGGTTAGAAACTTCACTACTACAGAAAAAATATGATTAATGTTTTATCTTTTCATTAACTACTTCAAATAAGTATCTTTATATAACTATATAGTCTATGGGCATTATTTAAAATTATCGCATTATATTCCTTTAAATTACAAAGATATACTTTAAGATTATTGTTAGCTGTAAAAACGTTTTGTTTTAGCCAGTCGCTGGTGCATCGCGCCTGTAATCCTACCTACTCAGGAGGCTGAGATCTGAGGATCACGCAGTTCAAAGCCAGCCTGGCCAGGAAAGTCCATGAGACTATTATCTCCAATTAACTACTAGAAAATGGGAAGTGGTGCTGTGGTTCAAAGTGGTAGAGCACTAGCCTTGAGCTGAAGAGCTCAAGAATAGCGCCTAGGCCCAGAGTTCAAGCCCCATGTTGAAAAAAAATTTTTTTGTTTTAGACCAGGAATTTTGGCTCACATCAGTAATCTTAGTACATAATAGCAGAGGCAGTAGAATGACAAGTTTGAAGTCAGCCTTAGCCATATAACATAACACTGTCTTAAAAAAAAACAAACCCAAGGGAAGCCAGGTAATCCTACCTACTCAGGAGTCTAAGATCTGAGGATCTCAGTTTAAAGCCAACTCAGGCAGGAAAGTCCATGAGACTGTTATCTCTAATTAACCACAAAAGCTGGAAGTGGAGCTGTGGCTCTAGTGGAAGGGGGCTAGCCTTGGGCAGTGCCCAAGCCCACAGTTCAAGCTCCAGGACTGACCTCCCTCAAAATAGCTGGAAGTGAAGCTGTGGCTGAAATGGTAGAACACTAACCTTTAGCAAAAATAGCTAAGAACAGTGCCCAGACCCTGAGTTTAAGCCCTAGAACCTGCACCCAGAACCTGCACCAAACAACAAGAGTTTGGAACATTGTTTAGCATATACAAGTCTGGATTTGATTCCCAGCACTGCCAAAACAAAAAAAAAGTTTGTTTAGTATTAAAACAGTGAAATAGCTGGGCATTGGTGACTCAGCCTATATCCTAGTTACTCAGGAGGCTGAGATGTAAGGATTGTGGTTCAGAACCAGCCTGGGCAGGACAGTCTGTGAGATTCTTATCTCCAAGTGGAGCTGTGGCTCAAGTAATAGAGTGCTAGACTTGAGAAAAAATGCCCAGGGACAGTGAGTGCCCAAACCCTGATTTTAAGACCCAGGACTTAAAAAAAAAAAAGTAAAAAGTAAAAAGAAATGAACAATTTGTCCATAGCTCCATTATTGAAATGCATAACATTTTGGTAGAAATACCTAGTTCTTGTATTTTGCACTGGCATTCTGTGGGTTAGGATGGGTACATCTGAAAGTAATCATGAAGGTCCTCTAAAGAATAGGCCTGGTTACCCTGAATCTTGCTGTGTAAACCAGGCTGGCCTCAAACTGAAACTTCCTGCTTCAGCTTCCTGAATGCTTGAATTACAGTGTGGAACACCATGCATAGCTGAAGTTCGTTTTGAGTTGGTAAAGTGGAGACAAATATGAGTAGACATGGTGGCTAGTGTTAGCATAGTGAGTGACTTACAGGCCCCACCAGCTCTCTTCCCATAGCCATTGTCCTTTCTTTTGCACCTATCCCTCACTGCCAGCTGATGGAAAAGTAAAATCAAGGTTTTTCAAAACTCAAGGCTTCACACTTGCTAGGCAGACCTTGTCCTGGTTGTGCCATATCTCCAGCCCCTTTTGCCCTGGAGAGCCGCACCTTTTGTTGGCCTAGAATATGATTTACCCATTTAAAATTACTGTTGTATCTGGGATGACAAGTATGAACCTCCACATCCAACTGTTACTTGAGATGGGGTCTCATGAACATTTTTATCTGCTTGGTCTTACATTGTGATCCTCCTGATCTCCACTTCCTAAACATTTAGGCTTACAGGTATAACTTAAAAAAATTATAATAATAATATTATCACCTTCTATTTTGTAGCTGGTGGATGATACTAATATAACAAGAAAAGTGATGCATTATGCCTTAAAACCAGGTAAGAATTGTTAGGTTTTAACCACTGTAGACCTGGGGTATCTGATCCCTTCAGTTCTCTACACTTCCTGCTTTACATAAACAAAACACAACTCAGGTACTCCCTCATAAATGAAGTTCCATCAAATCCGAATTTTTTCTCACCTTGGTGTTGATGCCTGAAGGATCAAAGCCAGTGTGGTGTCTGTCAGCTGGACTAAATAAAAAAGCAGTTCTTCTTGGGGAAAACCATGTTGGAAGGAGAGGTTGCCTTAAGCAAAATTCTCAGCCTGAGGTATTTGCTGTCCCAGAAGACTGAACTGTTTAATTGCTTTCCATCATTCTTTAAAGAAAAAGCACCAAATCCTTTTATAATCACCATTCCAGCTAGAGAAAGGTGGTTATGGGGTCCTAGAATCTGTTAGGTGGCTTAGATTGTTGTTATTTGCTCGAACCTGTATACTTCGGAAGTTTAACAATATTTGTTTTGAATTTCCCAGTGCATTCCCCATGGGCTGGGCCCATCAGAGCAGTGGCCATTACTGTGCCACTGGTGGTCATATCTGCATTTGCAACGCTCTTCACTGTGATGTGCCGCAAGAAGCAACAAGGTATCGCTTTGTGTACTGTGTACCCCCTCTTCCCAAGAGGTAGGCCAGGGGTGGATGCCAACAGAAAGGTAGACTGTAGCACCTGGTTCCTCCAGCATCTGGGAAGCCTTATGCCTTCTAGTTTCTTCCTTGCTTACTATAGCTTTCAGAATTAAAACATGTTACTTAAAAGTCTCTGAAGATGGGCTGGAAGGTGACTCAGTGATACAATGCTTGCCTTGCATGCATGAGGCCCTGGGTTCGATTCCTCAGCACCAAATAAGTAGAAAAATCTGGAAGTGGCACTGTGTCTTAGGTGGTAGAGCGCTAGCCTTGAGCTGAAGAGCTGAGGGACAGCACCTAGGCCCAGAATTCAGGCCCCATGACCTACCCTCCCCACTCCTCCCCCCCAAAAAAAAGTCTCTGAAGCCACTAAAAGGGTAGACATAACTAAATTCCCAAACTCAGGATAGTAAGTTCAAGGGCATAAGAGAGTGTAAGGTATGAACCACAATATAGTGAGGGCTTTCCAGGAGTCAGGTGTCACCTGACACTGGTGGCTTATACCTGTAATCCTAGGTACTCAGGAGGTTGAGAAGTAAGGATGGCAGTTCAAAGCCAACCCAGGCAAGAAAGTCCATGAAACCCTTATCGCCAATGAACTTCCAAAACAAAGTTGGAAGTGGAGCTGTGGCTCAAGTGTAGAGTGCTAGCTTTGAGCACATAAAGCTCTAGGATAGTGTTCATGCCCTGAGTTCAAGCACCAGAACTGACACACACACATACAAAAAAAAAAAGAATCAGGTGTCATATGAGAACTTTCTGGGACACTGGAGATTACCTATGTTGTTCTGGGTGGAGGTTACACACATGTGTACACTTAAGATTTATGTACTTTTGGGCTGCGAATGTGGCTTTGTGGTAGAGTGCTTAACTAGCATGCATGAAGCCCTGGGTTTGATTCCTCAGTACCACATAAACAGAAAAAGCTGGAAGTGGCGCTGTGGCTCAAGTGGTAGAGTGGTAGCCTTGAGTACAGAGAGGCTAGGGGACAGTGCCCAGGCCCAGAGTTCAGGCCCACAACCGACAAAACAAACAAAAAAAGATTTATGACGGGGTACTACTGTTGTTCCAGGAACTTGGAGCCCAGGAATGAAGGTCAGCCTAAGCAATGGAGTTAGAAACCATCTCAAATAAAAAAAGAAAAAAGAAAAGAAAGATTTCTATACTTTACCCTTATAAATTACATTCAATAAACATTTTTCTAATTTTTTGTAAAGATCATCCATGTTGCAACAGCCAATTCTAGGTACTTCACTGACCAGAGCAGCCCTTGCAGCATTTCTTGTTTTGTCTAAGGTCAATTTCAAATTGAGAATTATTTTTGTATAATCCTAGCTACTCAGGAGGATATGATCTGAAGATCACAGTTCAAGCCAGCCCAGGCAGTTAGGTTTGTTTGACCCTTATCTCCAATTAATCAGCAAAAGTGGAGGTAGCCTCAAGTGGTAGAATGCTAGCCTGGAGCAAAAAAAAAGCTAACGGAGCATACACTGGCTCTGCCTCCGAGTTTAAGCCCAATAATTCTCTCTCTTTCTGCCTCATCTGTCTGCCTATCTGTCTGTCTCTCTCTTTCTTCCACATACACAAAGAGAAAGAAAAGAATGATTTGGGGTTTTGTTTTTTTACTTTTTGATGCTTAGTTGCAGAAACTAGATGTACCATTCCTATGAATATTCCCAGGGGGTTGATGAATTGGGGACCAGGACTCTATATGGATATTACAACTGTTTGTTTCTGAAGTTATCACTGAATTCCAAGTCATATAAAATAAGATAAAATGTCATTCATAGCTATCAACCTTATCTTTTTCCCAATTTAGAAAATATATACTCACACTTAGATGAAGAGAGCTCTGAGTCCTCCACATACACTGCAGCACTCCCCAGGGAGAGGCTTCGGCCACGGCCCAAGGTCTTCCTCTGCTACTCCAGCAAAGATGGCCAGAATCACGTGAATGTCATCCAGTGCTTCGCCTACTTTCTCCAGGACTTCTGTGGCTGTGAGGTACAGAATCTAGTCTCTTCTCCCCCCACCCCCCTCCAAGCAGTACATATGCTCCACACTCCTTGTTTATTGTCTTCTCCACTCCTCCAGGCCTGCTTCTGTGACACCTATTTGTGTGTGCGTGTGTGTGTGTGTGTGTGCGCGCATGCACGCTCACTCGTGCCCACGCCCCTGTGTCCCTCCTGGGGCTTGAACTCAGGGGCTGGGCCCTGTCACTGAGTTTTTCTTTTGGTTGGTTGTGGGGCTTGAACTCTGGGCCTGGGCACTATCTCTAAGCTCTTCAGCTCAAGGCGAGTGCTCTACCACTTTGAGCCAAGGCACCACTTCCTACCTGGACTTTTTTGACCAAAGCTAGCACTCTTCCTCTTAAGCCACAATTCCACTTCTGGCTTTTTGGTGATTAATTGGAGATATGAGTCTCAGACATTACTGCTTGGGCTGGCTTCAAACCAAAATCCTCAGATTTCAGCTTCTTGAATAGCTAGGATTACAGGCATGAACTACTACTGGTACTGGGCAACACCTGCTATTAACTAGTGCTATACTTTCAAACTTAGGGCCAGTCTTTCATTCTTCTTTTCATCTGTTCTACTCATCACTAGCACCAACTATTTCATAATACCTGGTTTTAACCTGGATACACTCCTGCTTGAAAATCTGAAGTAGCATTCAGCTGGCAGATAGTTTTGTGAGCATGAATAGTGCCAGTGGCTACTACGGCAACAGGCAACCAAGGTAGGAGCTATCACCCAAGACATCTTGGTATGTACACAAGAGAAGTTCCAGTGAACAGTCAGAGGGGAACAACAAGGAAGGACAGTTCTTTGAGGAAGGTTCAATTCCCTAAGAGAATTTTGCTGAGAAGGGGAATGGAGAAGATTGCCACTGGAAGGGATCTTGGGGACCAGGGAGAAATGTTTAACAAGGGCCTCTGTGAGGTTGTTAGGCCATTGACCAATATGACATCATGAAAAATGAGAGACCAGTAGTGTAGGAGAAAACTGTAGCTGGAAAGAACAGGAGGAAGGATGGGAAGAGTCCAGAAAACAGTAATATGTCATGTGCTTGAGTATCTGCTCTGATTTCTTCTTCTTCTTCTTCTTCATTATTATTATTATTTTGGTTGGTCGTGGGGCTTGAACTCTGGGCTTGGGCATTGTCCCTGCGCTCTTCAGCTCAGGCAAGCGCTCTATCGCTTGAGCCACAGGGCCACTTCTGGTTTTCTAGTGGTTTATTGGAGATAAGAGTCTCATGGACTTTCCTGCCTGGGCTAGCTTTAAACTGCAATCCTCAAATCTCAGCCTCTTGAGTAGTTAGGGTTACAGGCGTGAGCCACCAGCACCCAGCTTTTACATTTTTTTTTATTGTAAAAATAATGTACAGAAGGGTTACAGTTACATGAGTAAGGTATTGAGTACATTTCCTATCAAGCATTGTTACCTCCTCCTTTTGTTTTTTGTTTATCATCCCTTCCCTCCCTACTTTCCCAACTCCTTCCTCCCTCCCCACAAGTTGTAAAGTTTGTTTTCAACATAGTCTTGTACATCTCATTGTTTCAATGGGTCAACCTGTATCCATATTTAAACATTTCGTTTTTTTCCCTTTCCCTCCCCAAATTAGGAAAGTGTATATACAAGTCGCAGGGAAATACAGTGAAAACAGGTTATCTGCTCTGATTTCTTAACCATACAAGTTAACTACTAGTATATAGCTTTTCAATAATGTCATTTTTAGAGTGAAGCCCAAAGTTATCAGGGAAGTCACACCCTGTTTCTTTTCTTTGGCAATATATGGGGGTAACTGCTTCTTAAAAATGCAGTATTTTTTGCACAGTATTTTCAGTTAGGAGTTATTTGTACTTTGAAATTACCCCATTGGCCTGTCTTTCAGACTTTTTCTGTGTGGAAAGATTGCCCTCTGGTGTAAATAAAGTGTATTTCCTACTGTGTGGAATGCCATAAACTTGACAGATCAGATCAGCACCTACCAGAAATCAACTGCAAGCTAACTGGTGGCACAGTACTGTCTTCAGATACTATAGACATATGTAGTATATTTCCTCCCTAGTCTTTTTCTCTGTAAGTGAACTCAAACATACAATATTATACTTTGGGCATATTGAAATGATGTTTTTCTGTCTCCTAATAATTTTATATACTGTTAGCAGTTCTATATATACTGCAATTTTAAATATATGATTCCTAATATTGGTTTACTGTAACTGAGGTACTCTGAATTGTTAAACTTCTCAGTAGTTCAATATTGTCCCATTTCTGATTATTTCCCAAAGAGAAATGCCTGGAAGTGGAATTAATCAAAGGTAGGAATAGTTTTTGTTTTGGTGCCAGTCCTGGGGCATGAACTCAGGGCATGAGCCCTGTCCCTGAGCTTCTTTTTCCTCAAGGCTAGTGTTGTACTACTTGAGCTTTACCACAGCACTATTTCTGGTCCCTTCTCTGTAGTTTATTGTAGATAAGTGTCTCACAGAATTTCCTGTTCATACTGATTTGGAACTGCGATCCTCGGATCCAGCCTCCTGAGTAGTTAGGATTACCGGTATGAGCCACCATGCCAGGCTGGAAGAATAGTTTTTAAATGCTTGACATATATACCCAGTTAGCACAAAATAAAGGAAGTATAAGGCCAAGTCATGGTGCTTATTATATCTGTATTGCTGGTTACTCAGGAGGCTGTGATCTGAGAATCATAGTTCAAAGCCATCCTGGTCAAGAAAGTCTGGGAGAGGGCTGGGAAGGTGGCTCAGTGGTAGAGTGCTTGCCTTGCATGCCTGAGGCCCTGGGTTCGATTCCTCAGCACCACATAAGCAAAAGGAAAAAGCCGGAAGTGGCGCTGTGGCTCAAGTGGTAGAGTGCTAGCCTTGAGCTGAAGAGCTGAGGGACAGCGCCCAGGCCCAGAGTTCAGGCCCCACAACCGGACCCCCCCCCCAAAAAAAAAAAAAAAGTCTGGGAGAGACCTATTTCCAACTAACCATCAAAAACCAGAAGTAGAGCTGTGGCTTAGGGGTAGAGTGTCAGCCTTGAGAGAGAAAGCTGAAGGGCAGAACCTAGGCCCCTAGTTCACACATACACACACACAGAAAGAAAAAATAAAAGGATTCAGAGTTATTTCAACAAGTAGATAGGTTTGGGGGCTTTCCTTGGTTAACATCTTAGAGCAGAAGAGAACAAGTCATTTCAGAATACCTTTCCCTTATAATTTGCTGTGTCTTAGGGGCCATATTTGATCATAACCATTGGGAATTAGTTTTTTTTGCCAGTCCTGGGGCTTGAACTCAGAGCCTGAGCACCATCCTTGAGCTTCCTTTTGCTCAAGGCTAGCATTCTACCACTTGAGCCACAGCACCACTTCTGGCTTTTTTTTTTCTTTCTTTTGTTTATATTGTGCTGAGGAATTGAACCCAGGGCTTTGTTTTGTGTATGCTAGGCAAGCAGTCTACCACTAAGCCACATTCCCAGCCCCGGGGAATTAGTTTTTTGTTTTGTTTTGTCTTTTGTCGGTCATGGGGCCTGAACTCTGGGCCTGGGCACTGTCCCTCAGTTCTTCAGCTCAAGGCTAGTGCCACTTGAGCCATGGCACCACTTCCAGCTTTTTCTGCTTATGTGGTGCTGAGGAATCGAACCCAGGGCCTCATGCATGCAAGGCAAGCACTCTACTACTGAGCCACCTTCCCAGCTGGGAATTAGTTTTTGAACACCAACAGAAATGCCAGGAAAATTAGATCAAAATGTTCTGAGAAGATGATACCCACTGAGAGGCCATATGTGCCATCAAAAAAAAAAAAATAAGGCTCTTCCTCAATCCCAAAGGACAAATAAAGTCTTCTTGCTCACAAGCATTGTATAGATGCCACACTATAGATCTTTATGAAGCAGGTACTGGTAATTCCAGAGTGAGTTAATATTCATATGACCAGATTATCCATATCTAGTTAATTGTCCTCTTCTCTAGTATTCACCAACTATCTGACCCTGGATCTGTGAAAGTGGCCAGAGGTCAGTCACACTCTAGATGTGAATCACTATCACCTAGATGTGTATTCTAGAACACTTGGAAGTCGTTCATCTATACCTTTTTCTTACAGCTTATTAGTCTTCTCTCTAAAGACTTCTCCTTCTACCTGGCAGCTTCAACTCATATATATGCACGCAGTTCCCTTCTGTTATTACCCTCTAGTTTCCTGAAGAGTATTTTCTGTAGTAATTTAAATTGCTCACTTTTCGAGCAGCAGTGGTGATGGTATCTCATGATGAAATGAGTTGATGAATAGCAAACTCTTGCAGAGGGCGAGGTATTATAACCCTCAACACAGAATCTTAACTGTTTCTCCACTTACTTGGTAACCTAGAGCCTACAGATAACACTGCTCATAATACTAGTTAAGGGGCAGATGATAGGACCTCCTCTATCATTCACAACTTATTCCTACATTCTTCTCTCTAATATCTGAGTAAGATGCTTTTTTATCCTTTCCAGGTGGCTCTGGACCTTTGGGAAGACTTCAGCCTTTGTAGGGAAGGGCAGAAAGAATGGGTCCTTCAGAAGATCCACGAGTCCCAGTTCATCATTGTGGTGTGTTCCAAAGGCATGAAGTACTTTGTGGACAAGAGAAACTACAAACACAGAGGAAGCAGCCGAAGCTCGGGGAAAGGGGAGCTCTTCCTGGTGGCCATGTCCGCTATTGTGGAAAAGCTCCACCAGGCCAAGCAGAGTTCGTCCACAGCACTCAGCAAAGTCATCGCTGTCTACTTTGATTACTCCTGTGAAGGGGATGTCCCCTGCGTCCTGGACCCGAGCTCCAAGTACAAACTCATGGACAACCTTCCCCAGCTCTGCTCCCACCTGCACTCCGCAGATCCCCGGCTCCAGGAGCCGGGCTCCCATCCAGGGCACGGAAGTAGAAGGAACTACTTCCGGAGCAAGTCAGGCCGCTCTCTGTACGTTGCCATTTGCAACATGCACCGGTTTATGGATGAGGAGCCTGACTGGTTCGAGAAGCAGCTAGTACCCGTCCCTCTTCCTTCGCTGTGCCGCCGGGAGCCGGTTCTGGAGAAGTTTGACTCGGGCCTAGTTCTAAATGATGTCGTTTTCAAACCTGGACGGGAGAGCGATTTCTGCTTGAAGGCCAAGGTGGCAGCCCCGGGGGCCGCTGCGCCCGCGGACCCGGAGAGCCAGGCCGCGGGCCTGGACGGGGCCGCCGGGGCCGGGGCCGGGGCCGCCTGCGATGGCGGCTGTGCCCTCTCACCCCTGCTGCATGCTGTGAAGGCCGGCAGCACCTCGGACATGCCACGGGACTCGGGCATCTATGACTCCTCCGTGCCCTCGTCTGAGCTGTCTCTGCCTCTAATGGAGGGACTCTCTTCAGACCAGACAGAGACGTCTTCCCTGACCGAGAGCGTGTCCTCCTCCTCAGGCCTGGGTAAGGTGCAGGGGAGTCAGGGTGTTTCTGATAGAAGCTACACACACTCTTTGGCCAGACTTAAAAAGGACATCAGAATTTTTGTGTTGTTGTTGTTGTTTTTTTAATCCGATGCCTGCGAACTCAGTATCTGAAGCTTGGTTTCGCTTGTTGGCCAGGGCTTTGTGACCTGAGCCCCTCCTTCAACCCCAAGGGTTGGTTGTTGTTCTTTCTTCTTTTCTCTATTTTGTTTGCCGTGCGCCTTGAACTCGGGGCCTGGGCGCTGTCCCTGAGCTTTCTTGCTCAAGGCTGGCACTCTGCCACTTGAGCCACAGTGCCACTTTCAGTTTTCAAGTAGTTAATTGGAGATAAGAAACTCATGGCCTTTCCTGCCAGGGCTGGGTTTGAACTGAGATCCTCAGATCTCAGCCTTCTGATTAGTTAAGATTACAGGCATGAGCCATGGGCACCAGGCTTCCTCTCTGTCATTTCTTCTTTCCTTTTCCCTCCCTCCTTCCTTCTCTCCTTCTCTTCCTCCCTCTTTCTTCTCTTCCTTCCTTCCTTCCTTCTTCCATTAGTATTTCTAGTTTTTGTTTCTGCTTACCTTATTGGGAAGTGAAACCTGATAGTAAGTAATACTAATGATCAAGCTCTTTGTAATTCTGTTTCTGCAACTTGTTTGATAGTTTTGATTCACCCTCTGGTAATGAAGATTTTCACTTATTTGAGCTCCTGTGGTGAGCCACCCACATCCTGCTAGGGGTACTATAGAATGTTTAATATGTAAGTTTTCTGAACCCCAAAAACATTGGAATACAAAAACACATGGGGTACCAAGGGAGCTTTGGATACTTTTCTATGCAGTAATATTTACTGCCCTCCAATCTCCTTTGTCTTTTGTTTTATCTGTCTGTCTGTCTGTCTGTCTGTCTATCTATCTATCTGTCTGTCTGTCTGTCTGTCTGTCTGTCTGTCTATCTATCTATCTATCTATCTATCTATCTATCTATGTATCTATCTTTCTGTTTTTTGGTTAGTCATGGGGCTTGTACTCTGAGCTTGGGCACTGCCCCTGAGCTCTTCAGCTCAAAGTGAGCTCTCTCCCTCTTGAGCTACAGCACCACTTCCTCCTTTGTCTTTATGACTACATATACAGAGCCTGAGGTCCATGGGTGTAGTATTCTTTCTATCCTAGGTCAACACAGGGCCCTAGGTAGGAGGGCTTAGTAGGAGAGCCCACTTCTCCCAGCAGCCCCAGCAGGATACCATTCCAGAAACTAGTAGATTTACATGCAAACCTTTGGCCCTCAGGAAAGGCGTCTTTCTCAGCTGAGGGAACTAATCTGTTAAGAGAATAAGACTGCCACATCTTGAGCTGGTTGAGATGTCTGCTTCATTTGTACTAAGACTATTGCTCAGATGTTCTGGCATGAGTGTCAGAACCTGTGAAATGTAATGATTGTGTGATTCTTCCCTTTCTTCTCTCCTTAGGTGAGGAAGATCCTCCTACTCTTCCTTCCAAGCTTCTTACCTCTGGGGTATGCAAAGCAGAACTTGGTTGCTACAGCTACACTGATGAACTCCACACAGTTGCTCCATTGTAATGAAGTGGAAGAGTCTAAGCATTGCCACTTTAGCTGCCGCCCTCTCTCTGGCTCCCCAGCTCATCTCTGTGGTTGCATGGCCTATTTGGAGTGGAGGGCTCATACAAGGATATTCTGGCCAGTACTTGCTCCCCTCTGCCCTACTCTTCTACCACATATCTTGAGAAAGGCTTCATACAGAGCTCTGAAAATCATGTCTATAAATAAGATCTGACAATAATTTAATATGTTAAGTCAGTTTTTGGATCAAAGCCTATTCTAGGAGGTAGGGAGGAAGGTAAAGAGAAACAGGAAGGTACTTGTATGGATTATTCCAACTTCATCGAGCTCTGCAAATTTTGCAATACTTTTAACGTCATTACAGCATCAGAAATCAAGAGCTAGTCTGCTGGAATCTGTCTTATTGAAGACAATGTTCCCATTTGGTTTTAATGTGGAAGCTACAGTGCCATGAATCAAGAGCCAAAAAGTAACAATATCCACTCACTTCTATAATATCCAGAATATATCCAGAATATATTACTAGGTGACATGACTAGTCAAGATCTGGATTTCGTGATCATTCCACTTGAAATGGGTTTGCCAACCTGCGGAAGATGCCAGAACATCTCAGCTAGACTTGAGTAGCCATTATATGGAGCTGCCTACCAAGTTTTGCTGGGTTATATTTACTGTGTTGTAGCTCTTATGATAGTGTCTAGAAATTTAAGAAACTTGCCCAGCTGGGCTATTTTCTTGGATGTTATAGAACAGGCTTCAGCTGGCCTTCTAGTCTTAAAGCTGTGTCATGAGCATTAGGGATAAATTCACTGAAATAACTGTGGGAAGGTGGTGGCCAGTTAGTCTGCTGACTGTTTTTGACCAATGACAAACCTCTTTTTAAGAAGGTAGAAAAGAGGGAACTGTCAAAAAGTAAGTGTTCTACTTTTTGTTGTTGGTTGTGGAGCTTGAACTCAGGGCATGGGTGCTGTCCCTGATCTTCTTTGCTCAAGGCTAGCGCTCTTACTACTTTGAGCCACAGCTCCACTTCTGGTTTTCTAGTGGTTAATTGGACTTAAGAGTCTCACAGACTTTCCTGCCCAGGCTGGCTTCAGACCGCAATCCTCAGTCATATCTCAGCCTCCTGAGTAGCTAAGATTATAGGCGTGAGCCATAAGTGCCCAGCCTAAATGTTCTTCTATTTTTATGAATAACTTTTCTACAGAATTTGTTTCCAAAGGGAAAACTTCATGTTCCCATACTGTATGCTGTTAGCATGGGTGTAATGATGTCTTAGTCTTTGTGGAAATCCCTGTCTTTGTCATCCCCTAGAATACCTGGGTCTGAGCATCTTTTTCCATTTTTCCCCCCCCATGGGTGCTGGCTTTTGGCAGCTTGTTTCCTGGGCATTCAGCCTAGGACTGTGGTTTTTGCTCCTTCATCAGACAAGATCAACAGGAAAGATCCTGAGGAAGATCCAGGTGGGCTGTGAGACAAAGTAATTTCTGGCTTTCCCTTCCCGCACATGCTGATCTGGTGGGGAAGAGAGGTTTGGGCTTTGTGCAGGAAAGTGAGTATTTTGAATGCAAATATCTTCCTCTCTGTTCTGAAAAGGCAGCTGCCAGCTTCTTGGGAGGACGTGCTTGTTTGTTCTCTGGCATCAAGTTTCCTGCAGCTGCTCTGAGGGAAAGACAGTGAGCTGTAACATTATCTCCCTGTAAAACTAAGCAAGCATCCCTGGAGAGGAAAGTTGTTCCCTGTTGTCACTATGGAATCTAAGAGGAGCACAGAGCTCCTGTCCTCACAGACCGCCCTGAGTTCAATCCCGAGCATACGTTCTGTGGGGGAGATTAGTGGACCCAGATTGCTAAAGGATGAAAATTCACTTGGAACATTATCAGGGATTTTTTTTTTAAAACTGAGGCTAAGACTTGTTGAGCCACTTTTAGGATAGATACTTGGCTGCATGTGAAATGAGGCATTTCTGAGAAATGCATAGATGACCAGGAGGGAGAGCAGCTTACTATAGAACTCACTTGCTATGAAAATGGCAGGGAAAAAGAATATGCTAGTCCAAATATCACGATGTTTTAGTTTGAGTGTAGGGTTTGAGTACTAATACTAATGTTTCTAATACACAAACTTAAACTTTGACATGTAAAGTAATGAAATTAAGTATGATTTTTTGATTCAGAATAAGCTGGTATGTCGTAATGAAGGTAAGCATCATTAGTGTCTTTTTTCCCCCGTCTTGCAACATCACGCTAGGACTGGGAATAAGTTGTCTTACAGCTAAGTAAAAACATCTATTCTAATCAGAGCTGCATTTTTGGTCTCATAAATTGTCCTAGACAGTAGAAATGAGAAGATAGACTTTTAAAAAGATTCTTCTAAGTCAGAGGCTTTTTGGTGCTTCAGAAATAGCAGTAGATTAGAGAAACCATCTGAGAGAAAGACCTTGATCTGAGGTGAGAATTTTATGGATAACTTAGATGATGTCCCTGAGAAAGAAATCAGGGATGAGCAGAGTTTCAGTAAACCAAAAAGGCTGAAAATAGAGAGCTAGTTGTATACCTCAATTTACCAGTGGCCCACAGGAAGAAGGATTTGGTATCTAATTCAGACACCTTTACCTGGGAGAGTGTACAGGTTGGTGAGAGTCCATGTAGGATGAGAAATTAGCCACCCTATCTCATTGGACTCTGTCCATGTCAGTGTAGAAGCTCCTCCAGAGGACCAAAAGTAAGTCCTTTAAAATACATTGATCTCAGAAAGAAGCAGAAATCATTCCAGTGTAAGCTCAAGTATTTGGGTAGGAACCCAACCAGGTACTACAATATTTTGAGCCAAAAGTAAGATTGGGTCTTAAAGTTAGAATGTGGAAGTTTTGGTTGACACATAAATACTAATTGGAAATAGTCCCAGGTTAGAAGTTTTGTATGTATATAAAAAGGTCTTTTTTAAATGACATTATTGGAATCAGTGTACATTAACTTACGGATATTTAAGTTCATGTATGTTTGTCAGAGTTCAGTCTTGCTACTATATAACTACAGTTTTTTGTATGTGTTTTTTAACAGTCTTAGTCTCAGGTACCCTGAAATAGACAGGAAGACTATCCCTCCAAAAATGTGAGGATACAGGATTTTTAGAGCTATTTTTCAGCATTTTTTTTCTTTAAAAGAAAAGGAGGGGAGAGCTAATTCCTGAAGAAAAAAAATGGCATATCTCCTGAAAAAAAAACCAAAAAACAAAACATGCAGCCCCTGGGGACCTCAACACTAGACTGACTTTCGCAGGAAGAGAGAAATCACTGTTTCTTTATTTGAGAAAGGTGGGCAATGCCAATGTGAAGATTACTATTGTTGGTTCCTATTGTTGAAGATTACTGACCTTGTTTATCAGATCCTTTGATTTCTTGGCAGGCACTCTTGAGCCCAGGTATAAGAAAAATAGCTGTGTGAAGGGTAATGGAGGACAAACCTTCTCACTGTTTAGACAGTAGGTCATGGTAAAGACTATAGCAAACTGAAGACCTTTCTAGCCTACAAGGGGTAGCACCTCCAATCATATGTGCCCAGTGCAGTATTTTCTGTTCTCATTTTTCAAGAGAAGATGAAAAACTGATTAAGTATTGACAATTAAACTTTTTTTTTTTTTTTTTGCTATTCCTGGAGCTTGAACTCAGGACCTGACCATTGTCCCTGAGCTTCTTTTGCTCAAGGCTACCACATTACCACTTGAGCTGCAGCACTACTTCTGGCTTTTTTTGTTTATGTGGTACTGAGGAATCGAACCCAGGGCTTCATGCATGCTAGGCAAGCACTCTTAACACTAAGCCACATTCCCAGCCCCATTCTAGAGTGAACTCAAGACCAACAGAATACATAAATGGATATAATTTGGCCCACTGGCTGCCAGTTTGTGACCTGTACTTTGTAAGATATGAAATGAAAGCCATCCATAGTAATGACACATCAGGTGCCACTAGAAGAAGCTGTTGAAACATCTCTTCAAAGAAATTTGATATGATTCTGAATGTATTTAAATGTTTTGAATGCTTCTTTACTTTTTTTTTTTGGTCTATTGTGGGGCTTGCACTCAGGGCCTTGGTGCTGTCCTTGAGCACCTTTGCTCAAGGCTAGTGCTATACCACTTGAGCCACAGCTCCACTTCTGGCTTTTTTTGTGATTAGTTATAGTTTCCTGGATGTTTTTGCCCCAGTTGGCTTCAAACTGTGATCCTCAGATTTCAGCTTCCTGAGTAGCTAGGATTACAGGCATGAGCCACCAGCACCATGCTGCTTCTTTACATTTCATAATATCATTTTTTCCCTCAAGGTTTTAGTAAGGATTTATTTTAGTATAACAAGGTTAAAGTAGGGAGAAGTGGTAAAAGAGAAAGTATACTTTTTTTTTTTTGGGTCTGGTCGTGGGGCCTGAACTCTGGGCCTGGGCGCTGTCCCTCAGCTCTTCAGCTCAAGGCTAGCACTCTACCACTTGAGCCACAGCACCACTTCCAGCTTTTTTCTTATGTGGTGCTGAGGAATCAAACCCAGGGCCTCGAGCATGCAAGGCAAGTGCTCTACCACTGAGCCACCTTCCCAGCCCCAGAAAGTATACTTTCTGAGCTGGGGAAATACACTTGGTCATGTTAGTCTAGCAACCCCCGCAATTATTAGCAATTTAGTTAAGATGGGTGAGCCCACCCAAAACACAGGTAACCTTCAGGACTTCCTTTTGCCAGATCAGGTTTCCATTCTTTGTCTTTACCTATCCACAATGAGTTCCCAGATTTTTACCATTTCAAAGGAGAAGGCCGATTTGGGTAATACTCACATATCTCCTGATTTTGTAACTTAATATTTAAAAGGAATGGTGAGAGATGAACTTTATCTGCCTTTCAGTTTACTTCGTGGTTTGAATTTTTGAGTCTGGCCCTTTTAACATTTATTAAAAATAAGATAATTTCCCTGACTCTTCATCTATCTACCCTACCTCATTTCTTCCCAAAGTGACATTGGCCCCTTTTAATCTTAAAGGGATACAGA